CTAACTATATGCTTTAGCAAAAAGGAAAGTTTTAAGCCTAATCTTAAAAGTAGAGATAGTGTCTGTCTCTGCTGTGTGTTCTAACATAACAAATCTGAGCTGTTCTTACAGCTGGTAGATGAGTTGGAAGATCTCCTCAAAGATGTTACAGATCCCCAGGAGGGCCAGAAGTACCAGAAGGTTCTCATAAGTTTGCAGGAGCTAATTCACTCAAAACACCACCTTGCTACTGAAGAGATCCTTAAGGTACAAGATACCTGATTATTCCTATGATAACACATCAGGATGCAGTTTGATTCATAGTAACAATATAGCAATAAGTCCAAAACCCTGCGTGTCCATGGTTTCAGAGTGCCAGTGAAAACGTCAGCACTGAGACAGGCAACATGCAGACTGTGATCAAAGATGACAACATTACACTGTGTCTCTGGGCCAACCTCAATAAGAGTACAAGGTTTGTTCATAAAGCTGTCATCTTAGAATTTCATTCTGTTATATATCCACTGTTACAGGGGTGGAGGCTCATATTAAAGTTTCACATGGTGAAATCAGTGTATGTGTAAGGAATGTCTTTGAGTCAACGCTCACACTTCAGACTCTTCAGTTCTAGGAGTGAGCACAGAAGCTCAACCTTCTCTTTAGCAGCCATTCAGAGGAAAGTTGGTTTAAGTGAGCGGGAAGGAAGCCAGACAGCGGTTAGACAGACAGACCAACTGTCCGTCTGTCCACCCATCTTCTGCTGCTTATCTAGGTTTGGGTTGCAGTCTAAACAGAGACAGCCAGACCCTTGCCAACTCCTCCAGTTCATCTGGGGGGACACTGAGGCATTTCCAAGCCAGCAGAGAGACACTAGAGACATCTTTTCAGCATGTTCTAGGTCAGCCGAGGGTATCCTTCTAGTAGGAGATGCCAGAAACGCCTCATCATCATCATCATCTCATCCAGCAGCAATGGGCTAATTGCCCACGAACTCCTGAAACCCTTTTTGAACAGGGGGACCACCACCGTGATCTGCCAAATGTCGCTGGGACCCACATTTTCCTTCTGATGCTGCCAATCCAAAAATAGAAATATGGTGCTAGAAATGAACATCTAATCCAACGTTAAAGAAAGTCAATCATTTGTAGCTGTGCCTTATGATGAAGATGAATTTGTGGACAGTACCTAAACACAGACTTGTACAAATGTTGCCTGTAGGTACACAGGCTGATGTTTTATTCCTCTTTGTGTTTCTACGTGGTCCATCCAGGTTTAAGAGTGTCAGCTTCAGTGAGGCAGGCCTCAGCTTTGAGCTTCCCAAGCAGCTGGCTGTGAGTGACATCGCTGTGCGCATCCTCCACACCCGGTATGACCACCTATCTTCATTAGCCAGGATGACTCATCTGAGAACACACACACCCAGCGACAGGGTCTACCCGGCGATGCAGTCCACCCAAAGGTTAGGCGAGAGGGAGGTAAGATGAAAGACTCAGCTTCTGTTGCAGGTTCCTTCATTTACTGGGTTCTTTTCCTTCCTATAGAATGCACATCTCACAGAGTGCAGCCAGTCTTTTGTCAAGGAGGAACAGTCCAGAGGCTGAAGAGAGCCAAGTGAGCCACGTCCAAACACAGATGGAGGCACTTGATGGTAAGATGGTCTTTAAATAAAAAGTAAGCACATAAACTAAACTATGTCACAACTAACTCTATGTCACTGATTGTTGTAAACTTAGCTTAGTTTAGACAGAATGTGTTTATTTCCACTGACAAATTAACCAGCAATTCTTCTAAAAGCTTAAATGACAGTTCTTTCTGTCTGTTCACCAGTCAGGGATCCGATTGGTCCCCCGGAGGAGCACACAGTGATCAACCCTGTTGCCCAGGTGGTAGACTTGATGGAGTACACACCTCTGGGTGGAGTATTCTACTATGATGCGTTTCACCTCCCACCTCAAATTCAATATGCCCATGGCTGGAAATTTGTGCAGGTGAAGAGATAAGGGTCTTCCAGCTAGCATGAGATCAAGCCTCACCTGTACTCAAAGTGCATGCCTGTTTTTGCTTGTAGGTGTTGAGGACAGGTATGCAGGTGTTCTCTTATCAGGCTGAGAAGTCCGGTTTGGATGGCCACGAGGCGCTCCCCTGCCCTCTTGTTGGGGTGTCTGTGACACTGCCTGACTCTGTTGTCTTTTTGGAAGCTCCACAAGTGGCTCGCTGGGATGCTGCAGGTATATCACGCTCTGAAATACATCTGAAAGACCCCACAAAGTCAAAGATATTGAAACTGTCTACTCCCAAAGATAAGCAGTGGAGGATGGATGGCATCACCGACATCTCCTATGATGAGTCTGAGGCCAAAATCTCTTTCAAGGCGGACTCCTTCCAAGCGTTTGCGCTGATGCAGAAAACCTACGCCAACCTTCCTTTTCAGAGCTGGGAGCTCCGGCCACTGGGCCAGGACTCTGCTCTCTACACTGTCAACGGGGCGTTCATGAACATCAGCATCACTATTCAGGTAAGACGGCAAGAGCACTGTGGACCCAAGACACAAAAAATAAACAGGAGATGTGGCTTAACTGTTACAATTTGTGCATCTGTGTCACTGATAGGATAATAAATGTATGCTGCAATCAGAGCAAGAGGGGGGGGCTCTCTCACCTCATAGGAAAGTGGATGAGTGGCTCGGACCTGCAGAAGGCCATGGTCGACGCTGGGGTCAACATCTTTGTGAATGAATACGCGCACAAATACGTCAGCAGCACTGCCAAGGTCTGCAACACAAAACCAAGATGCTAAATTTGAGACGCTAATATCAGAAGCTTAATAAGAATCCTTCAAAGATTGAAATGCATTTTATGAAGTCAAGTGGGTTTCAGAATGGAAAAATGGACTTGAACGCCCCTTTAAATGAGGAGATTGAAAAACAAGGTTCGGCTGATATTTCACATGGTACCCACTATTTAAGCAGCTCAGACTACCCTCAGTTGTTGCGCATCTTTTCATTCATCTGACTGAAGAAGCGAATAACTGCTTTTCATGTCACTAATTAGGGCTGTCAACGTTAACGCGTTAATGCGTCATCACGATTAACGCAATTAAAATTTTTAGCACAATCAACCCATCTGGAGTGCAGAACGGACAAACTGCCCAAAATGCATTGACAGAGACATTTCAGGGATTTTGAGTCATTCTGCGCTCCAGATGGGTTGATTGCGCTAAAAAAATTTAAACAGCGTTATTTGCAATGACTGCGTTAGCATTGACAGCTCTACACCAAATATAAATGACTACAGACGGAAATGTCAGTTAGCGTGCGACTTGGTTGGTGAGATTTTCACCTGATAGTAGCATTAAGTTAAAAGGTTTGAGCCAAAGTTTGTATTACACAGTGCACGTAAGAAGTGTCCCATGAAATCATAAGATAAATATGTTTTTCTGCATTTACACAGGGCTGCCTGAAGCGGTCCTGATATGTAGTTTTAAACAGCGATTTAATTATTGTGTTTTTGCAGTATTAAGAAATGATCTGTGGGCTTTCTGTCCTCTTCAGGACCCACTCACAGAGCACGCTGCCTACGAACAGATGGCCCTCTTTTCCTCTGCCTGTGCATTCTCGTGGAGCAAGTGGAATGCTAAATGTGGAGCTGAGCATCTGGTCATGCAGGTACTCTCACACATAGATACACTTTATGCAATGTAGTATTTTACTCCATTATCTTATCTTAAGGCCTCAGTCACACTAGAGTAAAAATAGAACGGCTACCTCTGTGCGAGCAGGAGAAAAAACTGTGGCTGGTGAGTGATTGTGCTGAAAATATTTTTGCTACCTGGGACTGACTGCAAGAAGTTGTGGGGACCACTTTTGGTTGCAAGGAGATCCAGCATGTTGCCAGGTGGGAGGCAACCTGTCTCTGTCTGATTTGGACCGACTGCAATCCCTCTCAAAGAGATTGGTGAAGTAGTCTTCATGCAAACATGCTGTAATCAACTGGAGTCACAATGAACCAATGAGCACAACTCTGCTACCTGATCAAGTAATGAGCCAAGAAAACGTTTACTAATTATTACTAATGTTTGTGCCAGAAAATTTTGCATAAACTGTGCTGAATTTTAAAACTAAAAAAACGTGTTTAGTTATTTAGAATGGGAGGTGGACATGTTTTCAGAACGATTGCATAATTAATACACCCGATTGGCTCAAAGTGGAGAGCGAGACATAACTTAGGCTCCGTCCTGTCACTCTTTACTCAGTCCTCTGAGTGTTTAGAGCAGAGCCTCGTGTATTCCTGCTGTGCAGTAACACTGGGATTTAATTAAACAGCAGAACTCAAAGAAGCATCGGAGGGAGGCAGGAGATGTTGGACAAATGATGCATACAAGGATATGTCTTGTTTTGGCAACCTATCATTTTTATTATAATGGGCAGAGCAGGTTTCAGTATTCAGGGTTTTAGAGATTTGAAACATCTCTTTAGAAATGTTTTCTCAGCAGTGTGCAAAGACAGGAAATTTTAAGGTTTCTTTCTTTTACTTCCTTAATAGATGCATTTACATAACATCTCTGTCAAAATGCAGCTGTTTGGGGACTGTGTTAGTGTAATATGCAGTATGAACAGTGTTATCCTCTCTACTCGAGAAACTGGCAAACGCAATTCAAATATTTTAAATTACCAGAATTAAATCCTGTGTCTACTTAGTGCTATTTGGCCAGCTGTGCCACTTTATGGTACGTAGAGTAAAGTGAGGTGAATGTTATCTGTATGTCATTACCATTTTTTTCTTTTTTTTTAACCCTAAAACTCCATGTAGAGGAGCAGGCATCTTCTTCCATTTACTAACACCAGCAGCAGACTTTCAATTTGAGAGTTGATAAATACGTGAACACGTTTTACAGAATCATGAAGCAAATGAAGGTCAGGTTAGAGTTTACCTTTTAATAGAGAAGTCTAGCTGGTCTTACCAGCACGCCATAGCAGCTGCACCACAAATTGTGTGCGTAACATAAATTTGTTGTTGAGTGATGCCTTCAGTTTCTAACTGCAGGATGTGTGACAGCAGCTCTGTTGCATAACACCAATTCGGTTTCACACACTGCACAGAAGCTCAGACAGATGCATGCATTTACACATGCAGCACAGTAACAGCACATTAACATATTGAGTCTCCTTCAGCCCGTTTATCTGAATTGCCTTCTGTTTTCAGAGAGAAACTTTAAAAACCTGTGTAAAAGCTGCGCTTACACTCTGTTACTTTGTTTGTACATTACTCGCTGATTTTTGAGCTACAAGTTTGCACTGTTCTGTGCAGTTCACCGGTAATAAGTCTGCCTCAGGCTCTGGTATAGCATCACGTCTGATGCAGACAGCAGTAGATTTGAGAGCTATCAAGGTAATTGTGGTATTATTGAAAACCCGATTTTATGTAATTGTCAATTCACCCTCCCCCCGCATGTGGTCTCAGACCTGGGCTCGGTCTCTGAAGCAGCCATTTCAAAGTCAAGGACACTGCACACAGTTGCAACAATTGTGGTTTGGCTGCAGTCTCCAATTACCATTCTCTCTAGTGCAGCTCTAGATTAAAGCAGACTACCACCTGGGTTCTCTTAACATCAACCTTTACGCAGCCAGAGCGATGAAAAAGGTAAAACCGTAGGCTTTTTATAGAACACGAAACCAAGAAGCAAAAGGGATATTAACTTGTGACTACCTGATTCTCACCAAAAGGTTACTGACCATAGTTGAGCAGACAGAACAGAGATGAAATTGGCTAACAGTTAATATGCTTTAATGTTAGATCAACTTACAAAACTCTCTTTGCCAGGTGTATGAGCACCACAATCCCTCCCCCGTGCCCGAGGACTCATGGAGTCTGTACCTTCTGGGAGCTCAGAGGAGTCGAAAGCTGGAGATCACAGAAACAGGTGAAGCTTTTTCTCCAGATCATTATCCTGGCAGCGAGTTTCACTCCACCTTCATCCACTTGCTTCAGGACACCATGAGTCCTGATGGCGTCGCTCGGACCAGAAACTCCCATCATTTGTTTGTCGACACAGTACAGAGCCTGCTTTGTGCCACAAGGCCCCTGATGTATTCATAATCCCAGTGAAATAAACTTAAAAATGCACGACTAAATACAACAACGAGAGAGCTGAATTTGAAATGTACACTTGGATGCACATAACACACATCTTCTATTGTAGAATTGGCTACTTTATTTGTGAAAAGATCCACGCATCTCCTTTGGAACATACAAAAGTGTATGAAGTTGTGGCAACCACAGCAAAAACTTGAAGATGGAAAATACAAAAAAAACAAAAACAAAAAATGTTGGTGTTGAAACTGTAATAATGCAGAAATACAAGTTAAAACTCATAATCACATTTTCCACTCAAAACTAGCAAACTCATAAATATAGATTTCATAAACACTTAAGAGTTTTATTACCAGTGTTTAAAGAGTTAAGTTAGAAACTGTCCTCAGCAACCAATGAGGTAAAATTCCATTAAAAATGCTGGTATTCTCCTGCATCCTCAAGTACATAAAATGTGTTTAAAAAGCCACAGGTGGAGCAGCTCACTGAACAGCTGAGCAGCACTATCACACATGCATACACACAGATAATCTTATTTAGCAAACATAATGTGATGCATAAACTCCTCTATGGGGCTAACTATTCCTGAGGCCAGGCCTGTGCTGTCGATGCAAGTCTTATAGGAATTTGCAGGCACAGTAAACATCCCAACAGCCTCTGCTCTCCCAGTGCAATAAATATCTCTGGAGGGCTGATGGGCACTAGCACCATCGACCCTCGGGACTTCGACTAGACAGGGGGCTGGCCATTGTACCGGAGCCCTGTGTAGGGCCACAGCAGCTGCTGGATGGTCATCCAGGAGTCCCCGGTCCCTACAGGGGCTGCATCTACGGCTGGCTGCATCACCAGGCTGGCCAGCAGTGCCAGGAGACCTATGCAAATAAACAATGATAACAATAAGAATCCTTTGTTTAATTAAGAAAACACCCCCACTTCTGCATGGATAACAATCTCTGAATTATTGATGTTTTACTTAATTGTTATAGCTGTGCTATTGCTGGGTACCTTGATGCAATTTATCTGAAAAATACTAGGTAAAGATTTAAAACATGGTATCAAGAACAAAGTACAATATTGGTGTCAAATGCATATATGGCAGTTTTGAGTTTGATGGCACATTTTCAGAAAAACTGAACAGGGGGCGATATTAAAAACGCAGCTGGAGGAAGATTTTGCAATTAGACCAACTATCGGTCAGTAATGTAAAGTTTCATGAATTTCCAAGCATGCTTAGGCCCTCAATAAAGGAGTTTATTTGCCAAAATAACTTTACCATTATTACGCAACTTAGGAGTTGCCAAAGCATCAACGTTGAGACTTCAAGGTGGGGGCATGACAAACGAGTGGAAGATGTCACGGTCTGTCCTTTATATACAGTCATTGGAGTGGTTCTCCTAGGTTCAAACCAGTAATGGTAACAAAAGGAGCCTACCCGCTAGGAGCACCATCATGGCTAGCCAAAGCCAAAGACCCCTGCCACCTCTGGCTACTGCTGCTGTCGTCCGGGAACTGGTTAAACTATGGGACAGAGACTGGGCCGCTCCTGGTTCTGTAGATGTAGGGCTGGATGAAGGGCTAGGCCTAAAGAAAACGAAATAATGTTATGACACGAACTAGGTAAGACATGGTTACTACGGGAAAAAAAAGAAGATAAAATGTTAAAAAGATAAAGCGAAAGACTTAAGTTACCAAAAATACTTGTTACGTAGTTAGCTTATTTCAGGACACTGTCATGAACACAGTAAAATCTGTTGGTCATTTGTGGTAACTTAATTACAGCAGGCAGTAAATTAGCTGTGACTTGGCTAAAATTACAATTTAAATGCAGTTAAGTGTATTTAACCACCCATCTTATAACTGCATCAAAGCACAACCATACACATCACTGTTAGCATAGAAAGATGTCAGCAGTTGTTAATAGCAGTTGGCACTGAGCTGGATTTCAGCGTTAGCTTATCAGGCAAAGGCAACAGATAATTTTGGCCTGAGATCTGTCAACAGCAGGAATGCTGCTTCAATTTACTTTGGCATCATTGAGAGTCCGTGCAAGGTTATAAGTGGCCTTTGATTGGCACTCCTTCCAGATAAACACAGGCCTTTTGCATGCATTAATAGTGTTTTCCCCCCTTAGACAAAGTCAGAATCCACAATCACTTCCCACTTTGTATTTTCTCCCAGCACACTTACAGCATTACAAAGAGCTCATCCTGATTCCTGAGAGATGTAAAGGGAGGAAAAGAGGAAAGGATAGTTCAGAACAACACCTGATCTGCATAGTTTGCATGATCTGTCACCTCACGAAAACAAAGGAACAGGCCAAGGTTTGCACATAAAACTGAAAAAGGTGGCCGAGCATGTTAGTACATGACAAAAGCAAGCCTGGAGAACTTGGACTGGTTATCACGTTGAATCAAAAATGCAGAAACAAGTCATAACACAACACATAAAAAAGCATGCATTAAAAAGAACACATCCAAAACAAACAAAAACACACAAAGTCTCCAGCTGAAAGAAATGATGAATTTCAAACAAGCCTCTGAGCCCCTTGAGCATAGAAGCTAGTCCAGCACAGATCTACATCATGAAAGAGTTTCATCACTTAGGAGGTCCCACAACATCCTCAAAGTTTTGAAACAAAAGGATGTGAACATCAGATGTTAAAGACACATTACATTTCTGGTATTAATGACACTTTGACCCAGGCCTCTGTTATCATTATACACAGCAGCAGGGCAGTGTTGACCAAATAGTATAAACAGGGATGGTGTCTAAAAATTGATATCATCATTAATGCCAAAATGTTACATGACTATTGATTGATTGTATAGAGATACTGAAATTTTGTTATGATCTGCAATAACTGGTGAAAGTTCATAAGTGGCAATGAAGCGGTTATTCCATTCTAAAATAAAAACATTAATATGCCACTTATGAACTCTGATATCACAAGACGTTCAGGTTACAATTACTGGAACCTGAGTACAGCTAAATGATCAACTCTTTCACCATGTGTCAGTCTCTTGGTTTGTTGGCAGACAGTAGTGCTACCGTACGGTAGTGGTGGGCATTTAGTTGGACTAACGTCTTAAGGGGCAGAATGAGTGAGGTGAGTTTGCTGCCCAGCTCACTGAGACTGGACCTCCTCTCCACCACTGTCTCCTCCTTCTGCTCTTCCTCGGACTGGCAGTCTGTGTTGTTGCAGGCTGTCCTGTGGGCATGCACGGGTCAGGCATTCAAACAAACTTTTCAGCTGCACAATGACATATGACCATTGCTACAAAAACCACAATTTTGTGTGCACGTGCACACATGCCAAAGTCATGCATGTGAAGCTAACAAAAGCAAGCAGAGAGACACCCCTGCAGCAGTCATTGAATTATATTCACCTCCTGCAGACCAGTAATTTCTCAGACATGAAGTCATGTTTGAAATTATAATTTGTTTTGCATGAATCAGTTCATTCCCAGCAATGCAGAGTATATGCTTAAATATAGCACAAAGCCATGAAGCAATTTCACGACCTTTCAATTATTTGGAGATTATTCAGCGCTTGACTTCCATCATCTTTAGCATTAGCTTTTACATTAGTTTTCCAAACATGTGAAAGCATACGGTGCCCCATAAGAAAAACAAACATGTCACAAATGTCCACAGCAAAGATGTCACTTCACTTTGTCTTCATTTATTTATTAGTACTATTTGTATTTTATCTGTTCTATTTATATATTAATTGGCATCTGTGTGTGGACAGCAAAGAAAGAACTTCATTGCACAAAGAAATGCCCTTTTTTCTTTGGACACATGACAATAAACACTTTGAATCTTGAATCACATAGAAAAGAGGCTTCAGACAAATACTTTGCCAAGCAAATGTGGATGGACCAGATGCATGAAAGATGGCTGCTGTGTGGTTTGCTGTCATCTCTGCGGTTTGTGCTTTCGACTTTGTTTCTGCTAACTAGCTTCACTATTTTTTTTTTTAATACCCACAAAGTCAAAACAATTCTCTTGTTTTGTTCTCAATAACATCTGCTGTTGACTATCAAAATTATTTCTGCATAAAATTATACTGTAACCAATATTGCACCTAAGAGCCGCCATTTTTATGCATCAGGGTCTGCGCTAAAAGAACTTCGGTGATGCAGCCAGTGCAGTGTCCTCCTCCTCCTCACACGTCTTACCCCTTCATCACAAGCGAGGGCTCTTCAGTGTCGACCCAGGGCACAGAGCTACTAAAACGTTTGAGTGGGGGACGCGCTGTGCTCTTCCCTGCCACATTCCTGTAAACCAACGTTATCACATAGGGGCATAACAACAACAACAACAACCCTCAAGTCATGATGCAACAAGCCTTGGTGGCATTAATAACCAACCAGAACCCACAAATCTTGCTTTAGAAGAAGAGTCACTTTAACAGTAACCCCCCCTCCCAAAAAAAAACCACACTGCCTTTATATACAGAGTATACATTTTGTTGTAACTTAACTTGAAGATAATTTAACACACACACAAATACCCACCATGGGGACCGTCTGGTCAGTCGTTCCGAGTCAACCTCTGAGCCATCTTGTGTTTTGGACTGTGTTGGGGGTGGGGGGCAAATCAAGCCATCATGAAAACCACACTCTTAAATAAAACTTAACCACAATCATATTTTGTCTGAATACATTTTCTGTATTAATGCTCTGCTCGTTGCTCTTAGTTCATTTAACTTTCCCTACGTTTTACATGTCAAGGACAACTGCAGTTTGTCTAACTACAAATACAGTCCAACTACACTGTGAAAATGTAATTTCAGTTTTCACTTTACACTATTATACCTCATGTCATTTTATAGAAAAAGCACATCTAAGAGAAGACTGCTTCACATACACCTTTGAAATTGATATTTTAAATAACTTGTGGACTACAGAAAAACTACAATTACGAACTACAAAAATGCCAGCCTTTGTAGGATACCGTCATCCAATGAGCTAGCTAGCTCAGTTTCAAGAATTACTTAAGAATGAATGATTTTCAAGCTGAAATACTGAGTTCAGACTTTAAAATATAAGGAAAGCTGCATCTTTGTAAACTATACATACAGTGGAGAAACAAAAACAAAATGTAACATATTTCCAATGTGATGATGTAAAGTCTTGCAACTGATACTCACTGTGTCAAAATGCATGTTGCCTGGGCCAGCACGAGAAATTGTTATCATGCTGCTCCGCCGGGCTGATGTCTATGAGAGCACGCGCAGTGGTGGTAAATATTGTAATTTACAGGATTAAAAAACAGTCAACAGAAATTTGAATAAATGGTCATGATGAAATCGTGTGTAATCCACCTTGCTGTACTGTGATGACTGTTTCTTTCTTTCACGGAAGTCATCTGGAAAGAGGAACATATAGGTTACCCTTTGTGTGCAAGATGTATAGTTTGCATGCAAAACATCACATTTTACACAGACCTGATTCCTGAGTCTACTCTAGTGAGTATAGTGGTTCATGTGAGCACAGCTACAAAAGCATTCATTACAAGGCCCAGTGCATATTTGGCATTTAACTTGGTATATAAAAAGTAATTATGAGTTTGCAGGAGTTTAAAACCTATTGTATGCTACGGTCAGACTTTGTATGTCTAACAGAAAAAGGGTACAACCTTTTTCTGTTTGTGATCCAAACGACCTCTCATTCTGCATGAGCGTCTCCCGCAGTTCCAGCAGCTCAGCATGCTCTTTGGTGTACAATCTCCTGAGGTTCTCCACGTGCTGAATCATTACCTCCACAGCCTTTCCAATACGACTCTCCTGCAAATCCCAAACAAAGGAAACCACTGAATAATGACAATCAAAGTTTGTTCCCTTGTCACGCAGAAAACATGTTTAAATTCTCCACTTACCTGATGAATCGCTCCTAGCATCTCAGAGCGACTGGACACCCTAGTCATGGACTGGATGAGAATATCCAGGTTTTTCTGGAGCCTCTGGATGATCTCCATTGATTGGTTGTCATTGTCACAAAGAGGAATAAGAGCCTAAGCAGAAAAAAAGGAAAAGTGAAAAGAGCTGAAGAACCAGCGAGAAAATATCACACAATTTCCTCAGTTTATTTTATTTCAACATATACATTTTCTTATTTATATTATTATTTTTTACATATATTAAATAAATCGTACAAAAATACATTAAAACCGTTGTCCACAATCACTCCACTACACTTCGAAGCTCTCGTGACCTTTGTACCTGTCAGCCCTTTTACTCAGTGAAACCAATAATTTCACAATATATTGCAACTTCAATCACACTATGTTTGTGCAACAACCCTCTACTTCATTTACTTACAGAGTTATCACAGCTACCTATGTTGTGGTACTTTAATAACAAAGGAAATAAAAGAGAGAGTGCGCTCAACAGCTGCACACACACACCTGCAGTAAGCCCTGACAGCTGGACACTTCTTTGCGGACGTTCTCCTCGGCTAGGTCACGTGACCTCTCCTCTAGCCTGAGCCTCTTCTCCAAAGTGAACATGTCACACTTAAACCCCAGTGCCAGACGCTGGAACTCTGCCTGAAAACAGAAGAGAGGCACTTTAGTCTGAAAAGAAGTATCCAAACAGCACCTCAAAATAGTATAAAGTACATTTCCATTCATTCTACCTTAAAATGGACAGCAGCAGAAAAGTTACACCATTGAAGTTGTGAAACTTCCACATGCACACACTTCATATTTCAAGAGAATTTAATAGACTTGATGAAAAAAATAGTTATAAAGTAAGCAATAAAGTACTATAAAGTAAAACTTACTAGCATTCTATATGGACACACCATTTTTTTACAAGGTTAAAAGGCAAACAAGTGCAGGATCCAGTGGTATACATACCTCAATCTCCTTATCACTAGGTGACAGGCTGCAGACAGAAAGACAAGATCAGAAAACTTCATGTGCACACGAATGATTTACAGATTATGTTGGAATGATAATAAGTTGTCTTACTTGTTCTTATCTTTGAAAGTGTCAGGAATGACTAACATCTCAGCTATAAGGAAACAAAAGCGTGCATGCAGTCATTCAAGTCCATGAATATTAAAAATGCATTTTAAACAATAAATATCTTAAACATACTTTCTGTGTCCGTGGCCATGCTGGCTACATTTTGGTCCTCCTGAACCTTGTGCTCCTTAACGGCCTCCACGGTGCGAGTCAGCTCCTGCAAGATCGGTACAAACATTCCAGGCTCCGTTTCTTTCTCGTCCCGCTTTGCTTCAGAGTCCGATTCTTCCATACTCAAATTCTCTTCAACACCAGTATTCTCGTGGATTTCACTACTTTTTACATAATGAATTGAAGCTGAAGAGTCAACACAGCTGGTTGTGCACTTGGCTCTAGATTCTGAATGATCCGATCCTGAGTAGAGGTAAAACTCAAACTCTCTTCCTCCCTCTCTCGTGGTCATAGACAAGTGTTCACATGACTACACGCACTCACTCACTCAGCAAGAAGGGCAGCATTTCTCTTCACGGTCCAGTCAAATGTCACCTTAATGGTGCCATCTTACAGCTTTGTATTTCAAAATGCTGTAAGATTTTTATTTTATACATTTTAATTTGTTTGTTTTTTTATTTCTTTTTTTTTTAAAGATAGAATCTGACTACATGTGGCAGGAAAGCTAAAATTTTAAGATATCCACTATCTTTCTCCAAGGCCTTAAGAAGAAAACTAAACTTTAAAAGTAATATTTATAAGTGGAGTTAAGCAGTTAAGAGCAAAGTCAGTGTGCAGGTCTTACTAGTTCTCGCCTATTATTGTCCTTTTTTCTTCACTAACCTCCGAATGGCTTGGACCAGAGACCGTACTGGCCATGCCGCTCCCTGATTGGCTGGTGTGTGTGACAGATGATGCCGACTGAGGAGAACTGCTGTCAGAGAGGGTGGTTGGCTTGCTGCTGATGAGCCGGCCTGTCCCTGGAAAGAAGAATTGCTGTGTGGGTGGATAAAGTTACACACAGACGCAGGAACAAAAAGCATAGCCATTTCTGGTTGTGGTTTATTTCTTGTTCCAGCACGCATATCTGTAAATTGTTCTTTACCTGCCGTGCTGGGCTCTGCTTTTGGAACCCCAGCTGCACCGTCCTGCACAGTCTCCTCTTCTTCCACCAGCACAGGTAGCAGGCTTGTGCTTGAAAATATATACTTTTACTTACACAATATTATAGCAACCTACACTTTTACGACTCTATTTATGGTATATTTTGAAACAAAGTTTTCTCCAAGCTGACGTTGAACCACTCACCTGTCCTCAGCTGGTGATCTGCTGGCCGACTGGTCCTGGCTTAGGCTCTAAGATAGACCGAATTAAAAGTGACAAAGAAAAGGATGAGAAAAAACACAAGGTGGCCTTGAAGCACAATTTCGGTCCCAAGAAATTGTTAAAAGCTGCATGCACATAAATGTTCGTGTACATGTAGCGTACCTGTCCCATGGCAGTGAAACGCTATCTAAGCTGTACAGAGTGTGGAACAGAAAGACTGGATTGACTCCTTATATAATGTGGAGCTACATGGAGAGCTCTGCTGTTTTATGAGTGTGTGTTGCCGAGAAGAGTGCACAGTTAACACTGGCACAGCGCTAAGTAGTGGAGGCGGACTGTGTGCACACAGTTGTATGAATACACTCATACAACGTAGCAAGGTGAGAGCTCAGACCAAAGCAGTAGGATATTGTGTAATAAGTGTAGATAATATGACTTCTGACACAACTGCTTCTTTATTTGGCTGCTGCTTTAGGGGTCGCCAGAGCGAATAATCCCAGCGCAGCATCCTCCTCGGTGACAACAGCCAAATTTGAGCCCTACTCTCACCACCATGTTCCTGTCTTTTCTACTCCCGCTTCCTCCAAAGAGGCCTTACTCCTCTCCTCTTCCTTTGTCTTTGGCCAACTGTAGCACAGTTTTCACCGACATCCTGTTGACCAACAGCACTGGAGATGGTCCACATCATAAAACATGCGGATGTTTTCAAGCTTTTACATCAGAACCCCGTCCTGATGCAACCGTCTCCTTTTATTTGGGCTTGCAACACCATTTTACACCCAAAGCAAAAGGTGGAAAGGTTTGAGGCATGGCTGCAGGGGAGGCGATACATCTGAGCTCAAACAGCTCATCACACCTCCCCTGCATAAAAGGAGAATGAACTGGGTCCTGATGTTGTTGTTGATGTGCAGATGGAAGCTGCAGCTTAGAGTGTAAAGTTACGACAACCGGAGAACAAAAGTGCAGAAAGGCGTTGAAATGTGGTCGGGTCTGTCGCGCATCATTTACACTGCCACTGAGTGACAGGAAGTGTGCACTCTGGACACTCTGGTCTATCACAGGGCTTCTCCAATTACTCTCGTGCTGTGAGGTGAAAAACCACTACAACACCACACATTGTGAATACATTAATCTGATTAAACGTTCTTCTTGTGGTGCTAGATTTCCCATTTGTAATGCTGCATTTAAGAACAACTGGACTTTCCAGGATCTGCAGTGCTTATCATCTTGCAGCCGTCTACAAATATCTCTAAAAACAATGTCTGAAAATGTAGAGTACCGAACAGTTTCTGATGCACAAGCTGCAGCACACCATTCTCATCATTGAGAAAACCTTTCGGTCGCGAGACAGGAGCCCCTGCTCAGTGCAGCGACACGGGCTTAGGGTTGAAACCTGGACAATCCGCAAGCAAAATCTGCACCCTTGATGATGCTGGCAACTTTTGCTTCTTTGGCCTGGGACGGTGACGGTGTCGACATTGGGATCGATGAACAATTTCTTGTAAACTTAGTACAAAACAAGTTTTTAAATTCAGTTAAATTCTATCATTTCTAAACATGCTGTGAGTGAGTATATTTTTGCAGTTATTAAACCCAATAATCAAAGAATGAACAGTTTGACGTTGTCAAGTCAAAAAGTCCTAAAAAATAAACAATGATTGATCAACAAAATAAGTGTTTTTTCATTTGTTTGTTTTTTTCATATTAATCTGGGAAATTTTAGACTACTCAAGTTTTCGCATGCTGTGTCACATCCAATTGAAACTAAATTAAAAAGTGCCACTATTGGGATAAATAATATGGTTGACTTTATTTATATTCTTGTTGT